CATATCAAGTTACTGCTTATGAAAGAAGACGTAAGTAAATTATGGGAAAGTTACTTCAAAGCTTGAGTAAACAATTATTTGCTTGTTCACCAGTGGATCAATGTTCACCTGTATCATACATATGTATATATATATATATATGTATATATATATCATATATATGTATATATATCATATATATGTATATATCATATATATGTATATATATATGCATATATATATACATAAATATATATATATATCACCTGTCACCTGCCGCCCCGTTAATCGTGGAGTGACTCGAGCAAGTACTAGCAACGTTTCCATTTTTCCCTATCGCGTGCAAGACTAGCCCAGAGGGGTCCTCCTCGCTCTAGGGACTCGCTGAGTAACATATCTTTCTTCTAGTCTTTTCGTGGAAAAATCGGACCATCGGCTCGGTGGCCTTCCTGTAGAGCGCTTGATATCCCATGGAATCCAACCGGTAACAGCTCTCGTTCATCGATTGTCGTTGAAGCGCATCACGTGTCCAGCCCACTATATTTTCGATATCCTGGTGTAAAGAACGGCGTCTTAAATCTTCGATTTTTGACGTAGGCTGGAACTTCGGATTCTTTCTTTCATTTGCGAGATACGGGATACACCTATCATCGACTTTGACTGCGCGTTCGATAACGCCAAGTGATCTCTCATCTGCCTACGTAGCTACCAGGTTTCTGATGCATACATCAAGCAGGAATAATCGTCGAGTCGAAAAGGTGGGCAAGGAGTCGAATGTTCTTGATCCTTTTCACTACATCCTCAATGCTCTGAGACGTTCCTCAAGCCGCCTCTTTCCTCCTGCTCAACTCTGGAGCAAGGTCGTTCATAATGTTGATTCATGACCTAGATAGACGTAACTGGAGCATTCGGAGATTGTCGTTCCGTTGATCGTGAATGGGGAATTCGAAGCCCGTCGTTCTCCGCAAACATAATTTCTGTCAGGTTTAGTTGAAGCCCAATCTTTCCACAGACGTTGTCAAAATCGGTCAGCGTTCATTCTACTGGCTGATGCTTGGTGTTATGAGAACGATATCGTCAGCAAAGCGAAGATGGTTTGATTGTCGATCGTCGATTTTCACCCCCATATCGTCCCATTCTAATGTTCGCATGACATCTTGAAGGATGGCAATGAATAATTTTAGAGAGATTGCATTGCCTTGTCGAACCCCTCTTCTTACGACAGTGGTAATATTGTTGTAGAATGGCGATATTTTGGTCGTGAAGTCTTTATATAGCACACGAAGGATCGTTACTTACCGAGTAAGAAGGCCCTGGTTGCCCAGAGCCTCTATAACCGCTTCTATTTCCATTGAATTAAAGGCTTTCTTCAAAGCGATGAAAGTGAAACAGAGCTGTGTTTTGTACTCTCGTGAAGCGTCAGTGAGTTTTGTGATCGTGTGGATGTGGTCTATGGCACTAAATCCTTTTCAGAACACTTCTTGATCGCATGGCTGCGTTTCGTCCAGTGTTTTGTCAATCCTGTTCAGGATGACTCGCATAAAGAGTTTATACACAGTGGACAGCAAGCAGATTGGGCGATAATTGCCTATGTTGTGAAGATCTCCCTTCTTGTCTTGTAATTAGCAAAGCTAGGTTTTGCGAATGCTCTTCTTACCTTCTGCAGCTTCTGCCATAACTGCTGCTCTTCTCTCTTTGAGGTCTTCTTTCATCGCCTCTCTGCAGCGTTTCGCAAGTTCGGACGTGACTGTTTGGTTGCCTATAGCTCGTGGGATTTCACGTTGACGTATTAGCTCGAGTGTCTGCGGAGACAAGCGTCTCTTCGTGACTTTAGGAGTCTTGGCTTTCATAGCCTTGAGTGAAGATATTCCACGAGCCGGTTGTATTCTTCGCCGATGCTTTCGACAAGGGTTTCTTCCCAAGAGCCGACTGATGATTTGAATACATTGCAATTATGGTAGTTCTGGGACTTCGTTGTTCGAATTTAGCGGCTTTCTCTCCTTTCCTCGAGAAAAGAAACGTTGCACGAAGGAAGCGATGGTCTGATCCTGTGTAGAACTTAGAAACAACAGCGACATCGTTTAGGCAAAACCTCCGATTTACTAAGATGTGGTCTATTTTGTTATGGTACTCTCCATTGGGGAACTCCCACGTCCATCGCTGAGAAAGAGGCTTCTGGAATTATGGGATACCATGGATGGTTTGGGTCGTTGTGATAAACTCAGATAACCTTTCACTCTGTTCATTCCATTCTAGTCCGTTGGTCCTAATGTGACGTTCCTCAGGAGTTTCCAAGTCAATTTTCGCGTCAAAATCTCCATCAATGACCTTGAAGAATGTATGGTCTTTTCTTAAGAAAATTTCAAGGTCCATATAGAAAGTTTCGACTTTATCTGTGTCATAGCTTGATGTTGGTGCGTAAGCAACGATGATGGTCAAAGCCGGCATCGATCCACATCGTTTCACACCGTAATCATCCGATGTGGGTTGGGTAGTTGCTCGAATGAATCGATGTTCACGGTCAAATTCGATTTGACGGAGACACCAACACCGCCGGCACATCTGCTATCGCATGTTCCGAGAAACGGTTCTTCTCCGGTGTCATAAACAGCGTGAAAAGGATGGCGTCTTCTCGTCTGAGCCAGACCAATGTTAACGTCGCACCTTATCCTCCTTGCTCAAATCAATAGATTTTTCCACAACGGATTCGTGAGCAAGTGTTCTAGCATCATAGGTACAGATCATTTGAGTCCTACTCCAATTTAGCAGCTTAGTTCGGCTCTGAGATTTTAGCAGCCTCTCCGTACTCGTCCTACCTGGCGCTGCAGTACCAGGGGCTTTTTTGGAGTTAGGGGAATGAGACCTATATTTATAGTCGTTTCTAGCGTTGATACTCAATGTATAGTTCGCTAGGCTCTAAACTTGGTAGCCGGGCACTCGAGTAGTTTGTCAGTCTCTCTCTCGGAGAAGCGGGGAGGAGCTTATTTGTTGGAGGCGGGCTCCTGATCTTCTCCCATGTACTTCCTAGCCTCTTGATAGCAGGCTTTTGGCCGACTTGACTCGTAGAAAATAGACTTTTTCTCAAATCGGAGCTGCAAAAGCAGGGCACTCATTCCCTGAATCTATTTGCGTCTCTGGGAAGCACATGGTCGCTTTTGGGTCGCACTTTCCTTGTCCACCAACCGGGTAGCGCCATATACCCTCGCGACTAACCGGGCGGGATTTTCAAAGAGGGAGGTCCGTAGTAACAGGATGTGAATCAATTTTTCTGCCCTAGAATTCCAGATGCTTGATTTTGCAAAAAAAAAAAACGGCGAAAGGAGGCGCGCTTTTCGGAACTATTTTTTCAAACTTCTTTTTTTTTCATTTTTATGAGATGAAGATTGAATAAAAATGGCTAAAATCTACTAAATTACTCAGATACTACACTTTATATTATTATTAGTGGAATATTATTAGGCACTATTTCCCAAAACTGATTGTCCTTATCTATGAATCGTTCTATCTATGGAATTTTAGGGTACATCGATTATTCATAGAAGGCTAACATGTGTTGGTTTTAATGGAGGTTAGTGATACCGAGCCAACATGACATATCCACGGCGTTATATAGACGATTTTTGCTTTGCGCTATTCCACAACACTCATGAACAGTCATTCTTCGTTTCTTTTCTTAAAGTCACTGTCGCATCAAATACCAAATTAAAATGCGACACTGCTTCAGCGAAGATGGCAAGTGTGACGATTGAATAAAGGATAAAACTCTTGGCGTTGATCAAATTCTTGAGTTATACGCTGTGCAGTCGTCTTAAGTTTTTTACTTCTTTTATCAAAAAAGTCGCGTCATACCTCGGCTATAGTGCCATCGATCCAAAAGCAAGCTCAATTTAGTCTAAGGCAACATACTAAATGCAAGTGGTCAAAGGATAAGAAAGCTCTTGGCGTTGAAATCCTTGAAGGATGCGCCATGCATACATCATGAATTTTAGCATCGCTTGAGGTAATGAATGCATATCTGGCCTTTAAGAAGACTCAGATTGGCTTACCTGTGTGTCAGATCAATGCTGCTATCCTCCCAGGCAAGCGTGGTAACGACCAACGGACTCCGGAGGTACGGAATGGTTGAGCCGTGAGTGGGTGGATAGTGCCATAGACCATCAAATAATCAATCATGTGTGTCGCAAAGACTCTAAGCACTGCTCCACACATGCTCTATAAACGGATACATATTCCAGTTGAAGCACAAGACCGTCTTGATTCGTGAAAAAAAATTGTTGTTTATTGTGATAGCATACGCCTTGTCTTTATCTTCCTCTTGCTCTTCGCATGGACTAATACGATGTCTCTTAACAACGCTTGTCAATCAGTGTTCAGTGGACATACTCACAATGGACACAATCATCTGCTCATAAATGACACACATTCTCCTTCCACGCTGAATACAAACACTCTGTGGAGATCGTATTCGGCTTTTTTTGATAAATTAGAGTATTGTACTCAACTGCAAATTGAACAGAAGTCACCTCATCGTTCAAGAAGGGCAAGTCGATACAAATGCCATCAATAAGTGCAAAAGGCAGCTCCGTCTTAAATATGAAGTTTAGGAGCATGCTATGGTAATAGAATTGAAAAAGATGTCCTGACAGCATATTATGAGCATTTCAGTGACATGGCACGCGCGTGTTTCAGCCTTTTAGCCTCATCAGTAGCATCGTGATTTTTATCTCAGACAATACCCCACAGGAGAGTATTCCTTCCACATTCAAAGAAATCAGCGGGGAACAACTTGCACTGTACGCGTCTCAAGTAAAAATTCACCAGACACTGCAATGATTCAAAATTGATTGCTCATGGCTGGTAAACTTAATGAATCTTTGTGATTGACTGCTATTTTTAAGACCCATGAAACCATGAAATATGCTGTCGAGATGTAGCAATTTCGAGCGAGGTTCCAAAGATAGTCGAATATAAAGGTATTTAAACTATAAACCCAATAATGTAGAGTAGCGTGGAAAAAGATTTACGTCAGCCGGGATCCGAACCCAGACCTCACTCTCTGCGGGAGCGCGTGCTGAATTGTTGCACTACCGACGCTCGTTTTGCGCACCTCTCTTTCTACGCTACAACGCGCTATCTGTCAACAGCCAACCGTCAACGGTCTGACGGGGCACCCAAGATCGGCATTGAACCCACTTATGTTGACAGACATTGGGTTTCAAAAATCAATCGGAATTCATTTATTTGACGCCTCTTGCGGTGGTATGATATTAAAATAAGCCCAGTAATGTAGAGTGGTGTGCAAAAACGTTTGCGTCGGCCGGGATTTGAATATCTGTCAGCATAAGTAGGTTCAAATGTCCGATAGTGACTGCCCACGTCAGACCGTAAGCGGTTGGCTGTTGACAGATAACGCATTGTAGCGTAGAAAGGGTAGTGGTGCAAAACGGGCGTTGGTTGTGCAACGATTCAGCACACGCTCCCAGAAAGAGTGAAATTTGGATTCGAATTCCTGCTGAGGAATATCTTTGCACACCACTCTGCATATTGGGTTTGTTGTAAGATCATACCACCTTAAGAGGCGGTTAATAAATGAATTCCGATCTATTCAAAGTATAGTTTTCAAAGTTTTAGAGATACAGTTTTTTGACCAGCATCGCAGAAACTCCAGTGAACATGGAGTCGGGTAATGTGACACCATCTTTCCAAACCTATTCACTACGTAACTGTATACGATAATGATGTACGCACTAATGTGGAGTGCTGTGAAGTTTTTGCACAGCACTCCACATTAGTAGGTATATTATAACATCATACAACCGCAGCCGGCGGTCAAATAAATGAATTTCGATTGATGTAGGCACTGTTGGGAGACTGCCATAAAGCCTTGGCTTTTGTGACCAACATCCTCAGCTTTTCAAAGATTGTTACTAAATCATATAGGATGCTCAAGGAACTCATCAAAGGAGAGGGAGGAATTGCGAGACCGCGTAAAATTCGAACCGCACTATGTCAAACATGGCAGTTATTGATTTTCATGGAAAAACCGTATTAGGCACATATATCGAGAGCGTTGTGAACATGAATAATGGTGAAGAGGAACTGGAAAGCATAATAGTCAATCAAGAGACCTAAAGTTCCGCACCAGGTGCTTCTTCTCAACGATGCTTCGAAATTATTCTATGAAGCTGATTGTAGATTCACACTTTAGCTCGTTAGTAATATTATGCAGCATCTACGAAGTGGCCAAAGGCAATCAGAATTCATTTTTATTTGACCATTTATAGCGTTGGTATGATGTTACAATATATCCAATGATGTACAGTGGTGTGCAAAAACTTTTGCGCCAGCTGGAATTCGAGCCCAATTTAACTCCATCCGCGAGCGCGTGCTGAACTGGTGCACTACCGACGTTAGTAACGTGTCGTTTTGCAACGATTCAGCACGCGTTCCCGGATAGAGTGGAATGTGGGTTCGAATCCCAGCTGACGCAAAGGTTTCTGAACACCACTCTACATCATTGGGTATATTGATCATAGACAATTATTACATGCAGGGTTAGCGCGGAAGAGTATAGTTGAGGCTTTGCAGTTCCCCCCCTCCCCTTTCCCCCAATTCTAAGAATGAAGGAATGTACTTGCTGCAGATAAAGCATATGTACAAACGAGTAGGACTTCAGGAAGAGATGGCAATATGTTCAAAACAACTAGATATACACAAGAAGCAGAGGCAGTTGTAGGGCAACACATTCTGAAATTGTATTTTCAGTTGGAAATGCTATGTGAATCGCTAAGTGATATACGAAGAGTTTACGATGCTCCGGACGGCTCACCATCGTAGGCAGCGAAGGCGAAAGTAAGAAAATTTTAAATAGCATTGAAGTCCAACAGACTCATGAAAACAGCTCATAAAAAAAGCGGTCTATGAACACCGCATTTTTTTGCTTCGCACCTGGCAACTTTTGAATACCTAATCAATTTAATTACCTTCTTAAGTTGTGCGATCACTAGCACAGTGGATAATTACTTGTTTCTGCAGTTCTGAGATACGCAGGATTTATCCCACATCACGACAGTTTAATCCAGTTCTCTTTGAATTAAACGAAGGGTTAACCCGATGCTACTAGGTTTTCTAACATAACAGTGATTTCCGCCCTGTTTCACTTCTAGTTCCCATCGTGTATGAATTTTAGGGTGTTTTCAGTTTGATTGCTCATACATCGAATGAGTTCTCAGCTGTATATCACAAGCCGGCACCATGAAACTCCTTTGCTGTGCACGATGAAGCGGTAGCAGATTTGGTCGTAGTGTCACAACAGTATTGTACTCATGAATTTATACTCCGATGCCTTATATGTACTGTTTGAAATCTCCGTTGTAAGCAATGCGCAGTTTGAACTTTTGAACAACAGTTTGTAAGCTCCCGTAGAGAAGGTCGTATGAGAGAGATTATAAATCAGAGTTTGTATTATATCATCGACTAGATGAAATGAACCATAAAGTCTGGCGTCAATATTTTCTTGTGATAAAATCCTATGGCGTTGGAAACAATCTCTATTTTGATTAGAACACGCGCTTTCGGATAGAGTAAGATGTGGGTTTCGAGTTCCCCTGGACGCGAATGCTGCACATCACTCTACATTTTGGGTATATCTATAACATTTTGAACGGCTAAAAGCGTTATATAGGAAGAATTTCATTTGATCATCACTACTTTTCATGTTGGACTAAGTACAATTGCCGAAAAGTTCTAAAAAATAGTGCAGATCTGTCGTCGGGCGATCGTGTGTGTCTCCTTCAGTGGTGTGCTTCGAATGGTACAGGGCTCGGAGGGATCGGGAGGGCAAGATGACGCGCGAGGGGGGGGGAGGGGGGGGGACTTAGTACGGGGAGGGACGGATCTAGAAGGAAGAGGAACGGGAAGAGGGAAGGGAGGGGAGTCCTTGGAGAGAGAAAGAGAGGGAGAGGAGGAGGGAGGTAGAAGGCGAGGAGGAAAAGAGGGGAGAGGAGACAGGAGTAGGAAAGCAGAGGGACAGAACCAAAGGAGAGTGAGGAGAGGAAGGGAGGGAGGGATAGGAGGAAGGGGCGAGAGGAGAAAGTAGGAGGGAAGGAGAAAAGGGGAGAAAAGGGGAAACGAAGTAGGAAGGGGAAAAAGAGGGAGGAAGGAGGG